TTCAACACTCTGAGTTACTAGGAAATGAGGTCCTATGTCCAAAATTTCCGGACTATCCCTTGTACCATCTTAAGGAAATATTGGTAGATACTTTTTATTTTTACTACATTTGAGAGAAGTGTAAGGTCCAAACATTTGTGAAGCCGTAGAGTGACGCTTTGTGCACTTTGTTCCACCTTTTAAAATGTGTCAAAAGTGAAATAAATCCACGAGAGCATTAAAAACACTTTAAATGAGTAGTCACGTATAATTGAAGACAAACAAATCGAACAAAAACGGGAAGATTAACAGGTAAAGTGTTATGATCGTTGTATCAGAATGAGTACTGAACATCAAGTCTATTCCTCAGTATCGAAATGGAGTTTGAAACGTTAGTATCATGACAGTACTATCACTAAATACTATAAATGTTATACTATTACTACACGAAACCTTGAACTGTCATCACCAAAGGCGCTTTCCACACAAACACATCAAGTAGATCGTTGAAAACCTGATCCTAGTCTCATCTCCAGAGAAGAAACCCTCTCATGTTCAAAGCAGCCTCCAGCCCCGGCTCACTGCTGGTGGTTTCCCCGGCAACACCGATATGATAATGTTGCCTTTGACATGACAGAAGGAATCATCACGCTAACAAACAACAGACAACAGGCCACAGGAGAGAGAAAGAAAGAAAGAAAGAAAAAACGAGGGAGAGGGAAAGAGGGAGGGGTGGAATGAATGAACCTCTCACCATCCTCCACACGCCCCGTCCGTCCATCCCCCGCTCCTCGGCCCGGGATGCGTGCTCGATCGCAGGCAGGAGGAGGTCCCGGACGGGGGGGGCAGGTCAGAGTGAGGAGAGCCGGTTGAGCTGGTTTAGTCTGGAGCAGATCGGCGTGGTCCGGTGTAGCGTGGAAATAGGCTGCCCTGTCGAAATGAGCCGATCTGCAGCCTAAACCGACAATGACGTCTATCGATTCACGCTGCCCCGCCGAAATAAGCGACCTTACGTTTTTCTGTTTGCAGTTGTATAGCTCCAGTAACCCTGACCTGCCCAGTTTGACAACATATTTCTTTGGAATAGAGACGGTGGGTTTGATGCTGTTTGTGCACAGGTGATCACACTTTATACTTTATTTATGTCAAATTTCAACTCATTTATATGAATCTGCATAGTCAGGGGTGTAGTGGGCGTGGTACGTGGGGGGACGTCGTCCACCCATTTTTCCCGACGTGAGATATAAAAAAAATAACAAATATAAAATAGCTACAACTTAAATGTCAAACCGGAGCTACTGGCACTGGTGAAAACAAACTGCATAGACTCATGATATCTACACTACAGTTCTATAGAAACCTGAGACATGAGGAACCAGGACTGAACCAGGACTGAGCCAGGATTGAATCAGGACTAAGCGTCGGGACAGACTCGGAGGTGCGCTCGTGTAGACCATCAGGTGACCGCGGGCAAAAGGACTGGTGCAGAGCTCTGCGTGTCACGGGTCTCAGCATCGCCGTCGCCCGATTGCACTTTGTAGACACTCTGCTCCATGGGCTCGGGGTTCTTTCTCTCACTCTCAAGTCCAAGATTAGTCCTGGTTTAGTCCTGATTTAGACCTGGTGGAGACCTGGTGGAGACCTGGTTTAATGCTGGTTTAGTCCTGGTTCAGTCCTGATTCAGTACTGGTTCATTTTGGTTCAGTCCTGGTTCAGTCCTGGTGTAGACCTGGTGTAGACTTAGTTCAGTCCTGGTTCAGTCCTGATTCAGTTCTGGTTTAGTCCTGGTTTAGTCATGGTTCAGTCCTGGTTCAATCCTGCTTTAGTCCTGGTTTAGGTACTGATACTGATGTATCTTAAAGTTAAAGTGAAAAATACTGTAGCTGTTAACTTGAAACCTGCCAGTAGTTACATCACAAATTGGAACAGAGCATTTTGAGCTTTGGAGATGTAAACAGACTAATAATAAAGAGTTACTCAAACATGTGTGAATGAAACAAAACACAACTCTAGTCTAGTCATTTGCTTGAATAACAATTCTAATAACTATATTTTGGAGTAGAAAAATGTTATTAATACTTGATTCATGAGTATTCCCTGATATTTCCATTAGTAGTTCAAGTATGGAATGTAACTCAGAGTAGTAGAAGAGTATTTTAGGAGGTAACAACATTATAATATGACTTAAAGCTCACAAGAGTCCATTTTGTGTCGCCTAATACAGGACTGAAGTGAAAATGCCCATTCAAGTTTTGGGTAGATCTATGAGTAAATTATAAATAGCTCACAAGTTCAGTGTTTGTGTCTGTTGCTTTCCATGTTTTCACTTTGAGTAACACTAAAGATACACTAAAGATCCAAAGTGAAACCGTTTTGATCTTTTAATACTCTCGAAAAGGTCACGCACGCTTTTATCTCCTCTCGTTTAGATGAATGAAATGCACTTTTGTCCAGCATCAGCCACCGTGCACTTTACCGCTTACAGTTAATCCAGAATTCCGCTGCGTGACTTTGAACTGGAACCAAAAAACAAGACCACATTACCCCACCAGTTCATTTTAGAATTGAAGATTTTATTGTTTGTTTTTAAAGATTTGAATGGACTGGCCCCACGTTACGTCTCGGACCTCATTGGGATTTACCCCACGGCAAACTCTGAGGTCCGAGAGCCAGTTCCAGCTCATGGTGCGTTTATATCTACGTTTATATGATGAACAGAAGATGCAAAAGTGGCGTCGCGTCTTCGGTTTTTATTCCGCGTTTAGACGAGCGTTTTTGGGAGGAAATCTGTGTGCATACGGTGACGCAAAAGTGTGTGGAATTCGATTGGGTATGTGGCCAGGCGGCTCGGTGGTGATGTATGTGACGTAAACGTGTACACGACGTGAGCAGATCTGACCAGAGTTTTGCGTTTTGGGCAGTTTAGATGGAAACGCTGCGGCGGAGCGTATTCAACTTTTCCACTCTGAAGGGTGGTTTCAGATTTTTGAGTTTTTAAGCCCCAAAAACACCATCCAGATTTACACCACGGCAAACTCTGACGTCCGAGAGCCAGTTCCAGCTCGCGGTGCGTTTATATCTACGTTTATATGATGACGGTCTGAACAGAAGACACAAAAGTGGTGTTGCGTCTTCACTTTTTAGTCTGCGTTTAGGCGAGCGTTTTTGGGAGTAAATCTTTGAGCATACGTTGAAGCAAAAGTGTGTGGAATTCGATTGGGTATGTGATTGGGTGGCACTAGGTGATGATGTACGTGACGTAAACGCGTACGTGACGTAAACGCGTACGCGACGTGAGCAGATCTGACCAGAGTTTTGTGTCTTGGGCAGTTTAGATGGAAACGCTGCGACGGAGCATATTCAACTTTTCCACTCTGGAGGGTGGTTTAATATTTTTGGGTTTTTAAGCCCCAAATACGCCGACGAAAGGTGATAATGACACAATGACAGTGCAACTGCTGCCCCCTGGTGGCACCTGACCCTGACCCTGATCTGATGGGATCAGGCTTGAACAGGCTGGTATGGCCACGATGGTTGTTTTGGTTGTAAATGAGTGTGTATACATGCACATCAGTATCCAGGTTATTAGCCATATCCCAGTTTTGTCAGTATTCAAGATACTGTGTTTACATGTGCACTGAGAAACCGGGACACTCACATCCATGTGACATGATCAAATGGAGTATCCCGGTTTCTTGACATAATCTTACAAATCCACAAGCGCAAAAATGAAAAAGAAAAATACAAACCATGAGCTCCTTTAGCAGAGGAAGCTCGGGAGGTTTAACCAGCGGTAAAGGAGGTGTGAGATCTCCCACAATCCACTGCACAGACCAAACCCAACAGATTCTTCATTAAAATCTTCTGCATAAATAAACTCAACTTTACAACATATAAACCATAAACACTATAGATCCACATCAGCAGGTTTGATCATATTTGTTTACATTTTACAGGAACAAAACTTAAAACCACATGGATCATTTACATAAACTGTTAGCGGTGACAAAATCAGCTCGCTCCTTGGGCCACTGATGCTGTTCAGTTTCTTTCGGACTAAAGGACACGACTCAGTGGATTATGTGTGTTCTTTTCATGACAGAAGAGGTGCTAATAATGGTAAGTCTGGTCTGTGTGTATATCGTAGGAAATAGTTCATGTTTTAGCTTTTCAGGGATCATATGTGTGCAGGTCATACGAGTGCAGATTGTACATGTGCATAATCACTTTATTTATGTTGATCACTTTATTTATGTCACTACTGTTGTGGTGAAAAGACTGAAAAGTGTTTGTCTTTTGGACACATGCACACTCAACTTTATGTTGCAGTAACTGGGATACTGTGTATACATACCACAGTATCCCGGTTACTATCGGAATATACCAGCTACAGTAACCCGGTTTCTCATAACTGGGATACTGAAACCGAGATACTGCGTATACAAGCACAATGAAGAAACCAGGATACTCAAAAAACCCGATCATAACCGGGTTATTGATGTGCATGTATACGCACCCATTGTTGATTAACCGAACATAACGTAACGCTACAGTGACATGGAGATGAAGAAAACTGCCACATTTTCTAATTTTTCCTAGAACACAGCCCGCTGGAAGTTGTAATCGCATCTGTCCAAACGTTTTCCTGGTTTGTGACGTAAATGTGAACAGAGCCTATCCTTGATCTTATTTGATTTGACTAGTTTTATTGTCTTAACGAGGACCAGTGGAGTTAAGTAGAGTTTTATTTTTATATTCCCATTGGATATGTTTTATTTGTTTTGTGCAGCACTTTGTTTTGTTTATGAAATGCGCTATAGAAGTAAAGTGGCTTGAACTGGAATGCGTAAAAGTGCGTAAAACCATCCCCGCTCCCCGCTACGCCCCGCGAATCCAGTCCGAGTCTTGATCTCCGGTCTCCGTCCACAGTTCAATCCAAGCGGAGCGCGTCTCCTGGTTTTCCACCGCGCTCCCTCCCCGCTGCTGCTTGCCTCGGCTACATCGTATCAGTTCCCACACGAAGAACCACCACAGAGCAGCTCATCCACCGGCGGAGAACGCGGAGGAATTATAACCGGATGGGATCGTACTGGCGCGGGGACTAAACTCGGAGCGAACGGAGCGGGCTGCTGCGGAGCACGGTGCGCCCCGGGAACATGCCCCTCGGAGCGGGCTTTTGTGCGCGCTCTGGACGGTGCCTCGGAGTGTGATGATGGCAGGAGTCCAGTGAATCGCTGGCCTCTCTGCGCTCGGCTCTTGGATATCTTCTTGGGGAGTGCGCTGCCGCTGCTTTCGGGCTCTACACTGGCTTTTTTTTTTCTTACGGCTTATTTACCCTGATTTCATTGCGCACTGCCTCGTTGTCTTTCTGGAGTTGTCGCGGCCATGGATCGAGAGGGATCGGGGTTAGGAGTGGCTAGTTAAGTCGGTAAGTGCCCACATATTTGATTTTTGTTGTTTATCCCCGACCACTCGTTAGCCATTTAACGCTAGCCTTGCGTGCAAAGCGAGCTGGCTAGCTTTCCAGCACAGAGCCAGCCCAGCATGCAGCAGGCAGCAGCTAGCCAAGCCCGAGTGCTCCGGCTCATTGTTTTGTGTGTGGCACCAGCGTTAGCCCTCTCCGGTGCAATTAATCCACACCATAGTGCTCGGCTTTTCAACTACTAATTGCGTAAAGTTGCAGAAAAGATGGAGGATGCTGTTAAACTTGCAGGATGTCCGTGCAATCACCATGCAATGTGACTATGGGAATATTATTTTAAACTGCATTTTAATAAGACTATTTCACAACTAGTTTCTGATGTTCAAAGTTTAAAATAACAGTTTAAAGGTTCTACATTGCACACATTCTTTCTGGTTGAGCTTTAAACCATTTGATAATGTTTCCTTGTAAAAACATACCTGGAGTTAAACTTAGACAAACTTTATTGACGCACAAGAGAAATATTTGGACACAGGAGCTCACATATCACAATATAATACAATAACAAAGAGACAAAAAGATATAAATGGTCATAATAAATTGTAATAAGTAGCAAAAAAAGCCATAATTATAAAAATGTAAATTTACAAGTCAAAATAAAATCATAAAATATAAAATCACAGCTTTATACAAGAGATCATAGGAAGAAGAAGTGCAAAAATTATATCATTATTGACAGGAGTTGTGTTTTGTTTCATTCACACGTGTTTGAGTAATACCAAAATGCTGTGTTCCATTTTGTGATGTCATGAAGTGGTAGTTTAGTAGTTAACCTCAACATTTTGCCTTTCAGTTCAGTAGAGATTGGCAATTCCAGAGGTGAAATCGTCCAGATGATTCTAGTAAAAACGCAGTGGAGCGTGTACATGGTGACATCACAAGGTGGAAAAGAACTTAACCTAAACGTGCAAAGGTTTGCGAGTTTAAACACGTGTGAATGAAACGAAACACAACTCCGGGTCTGTTTTTTGGCGAGGAAACATTATAACGTAGATCAGGGGTTTCCAACCTGTGACTCGGGAGCTTCCAGTAGCTCTCCACGCCTTTACAAGTCCCTCGCAAAGGGATTTCCAAACTTATACGTATTGTACTGAGTGGTAAATGTGTTATTTTGAACTTTGTGCGCTAATAAATGGATAATGGTTTTACGTTTTATGGTCATCTAACTCTACGGGCTGCCCTCTTATATCGACTCAGTTTCTTTATTATTCGCTCTGTGGCATTTTCGTTTAGTAAAGGAGAGGCAAAAGGTTGGAGACCCCTGACGTAGATCTTTAAACGCTTTAATATGGGAGCTTTAATTGCCTATACTGATAATAAGCTTCTTTTGGGTGCCTTGACAAGCGGACATTACAGTTTCATCATTTCAAATACAACGAAATGTCACTGCCTTCCCGATCTTCACAAACCAACCTTTAAATCTACTTTTCCGTTTATTGTCTCTAGTCTTTTTACAGCCTTTTACAACCAGCCCTTTGTTTATCTGAACTGTATGCTCTTGTGACGTCACTTCCTGTGTGTGCTGTGCGGTCAATTACTGCCCCATTAATATTTGATGTAACGATTAAGTATGGCGCCAGAGGTTTAATTGGCTTCGTTTTCGCGTGCTCTTTTGGTATTCGCGTGTTTTCGTTGTCCACCTTGTCGCGGATTACGAAAATGTCAAGCGGTACGTCTTTTCGTCCCTGCAAATGTGTTAAAATATCTCAAATGTCAACTCTGTCACCTCGGACTTTGTGTCAAGAGTTTGTCAGCGCTTCCTTGTCAACTGTGTTACGCGTTTTAATGCATAACAGCAAAAATGTCTGTGCCAAAGGTGCCTGTATCACGCGTTTTTATCAAATTTTAAAATGTTTCCTCATCAAAAAACATTCAAGAGTTGTGTTTTGTTCACTTCAGCTCTTCTCACAAACGGAAAACACTCTATTCCACCTTGTGATGTCATGCGGTGATACAGAAATGCTCCACTGTGTTTTGAAACTCCACACACCTTCACTAGAATCATTTGGATTCAATTTCAGCTCTGGAATTGCCCATTTCTACTGAACAAAAGGTAAAATTTTGCTGAAAACTACCGCTTCATGACATCACAAGTTGGAACGGAGCATTTTGAGCTTTGGAAATATAGACAGATTAATAATAAAGGATTAATCAGACATGAGTGAATGAAACAAAACATAAATCCAGGTGTGTTTCTGAGGAGGTAACACTATTCAATCTTGACTAAAAGCTCGCATGAGTCAATTTTGCGCAATATGGAACCTTTATGAGCTGTGTATTTAACTGTATCGTAAAAGATGCTAAGAAAGTGCTGAGGAGTGGTCCCTTGGGTGCAGTCACTGGCACACGCGCGTACATGCTGGGTGCACTTAGTTGTATCCTGTATCTGTTATTGAGATGACCCCCTGTGCCAAGTTTAACGGCTGTTTCACCCTAATGCTTTTGGTACATCGACTGTATAAAGACGTGGGCTGAAGGAGCGTGACGTCACCCACAGCGTTCAGCTTCAGTCAAATGAGGCTCACAGAAGGTAGCGGTTATAGGAGCGAATTTGGAGCCGGTTCCATGTCAGGAGTAGGAGTTTATTTAACAAAAATGAGGAATGTTGAGTGGGTTAATACGAACATTTTTAGACCAAAATAAGGATTCTCACTAGGGATGGGCATGATTAGTTGATTAATCGATAATTCAACATTAAGAATTTAATCGATTACATTCATTTTAATCGACAAACCGAAAGTAGGTTGCTGTGCGTAGCGTAGCGTGACCAAACGGTGGTCCGTACATGTGGCTCTCTGCATCAGAAGGAGCGAGACACAAACAGTCGGTCAGTCTGCAACGTACCGAAGCGCAAATGCGTATTTAACGATGACTTGTACAAGAGATTCCACGCTTTCCGTTGCGGTAGGGACAAGTGTGAGTCCATGTGCACAGTGTACAAAGCAGCACATGTGTTTCAGTGTCCAGTGGGAAAAAGTTTTGCCAGGTTAGAGTCGCGCAATGTGGATGACGAGTCCCCACCTCTCCTCCCCCTGTACGGTGTCCTGGGTTTGACAAACGCAAATATGCTCACACTAACCTGTATTCCACTGAGTCATGTCTTTTAATCCGACAGAAACTGACCGGATCAGCGACACAAGAGCTGTAGTTTTATCTTCACTGAGTTTATGCAAATTAGTGATGTGGTTTTAAGTTTCGTTTCCTGTGAGAGTTGCGCAAAACTGAATTAAACACATTATAATGTCAAACGGGCTGATGTGGCTCTAGAGTCGTTACTGTTTATATGTCGTAAAGTTGAATTTATTTATGCAGATTAGTAGTGCAGATAATAATAATGATGTAATGATTAATTCTTCCGACGATTGATTAAGAAAATTCCATCGAATGCCCATCCCTAATTCTCACTGCAGCAGTTACAGAAAGAGTGAATCGGAGCCAGAGTTGATGGAGCCAGAAGCGCGCCCTTGCTTGTCATGCGGCGGCTTAGCGATGCCCATTTATATACAGTCTATGTTTTGGTATAAATACCCACTGCTGTTCTGGCTTCAGCTAATATCCTTGGAGAACAGTTGACATTTGTACCGTTGCATCTGTTGGTTCATGACGACACAGGAAGAAGTACTAAAGGTGGACTTTGGTAGCTTGAAGGTGCACCCTGGAACTTTTTTTTGTCAAGATCTACGAAGAGGCGATCCAGCTAAGAATAAGAATGGATGTTTAAATGTGTTACGAGCGGTAAAAACAGCTGTAGCCTAATGAAGTAATTTGAAGATTGATATGTCGAGTTGAGACAAGATTTCGCGCCATAAGATCTCGCGAGACAAAATTGCCTCAAGATCATGCAAATATGACGAAAGTGAGCTTCCCCCTGATTTTTTTAACCTTGGTTTGGACAAAAAAAGAGTTAAGAGATGTTGAGTTATACAATTTGAGAAGCTGTATTACAAAAAGCAGTACTACAATGACCTCTTAAGAATTACATAAAATAAGAAATCGTGAAGCCAGAACGCGGACCCAACCTTGCGGTGCGTGAAAATTGTGTCTCGTCTCACCCCTATTGACACGTCTAATGCCCCACTGTGCAACATTCCAGAGCAAGTGATAACATCTTTAACCTTTTCTTTCTCTCCGTTGATTATTAATGCAACTGATTCGGTCTCTGTAACAATCCGAGCTCTGTTTCCGCTCAGAGCATGTGTTGGAGTCTCGTACAGTCAGCGAGCTAATTATTAAATGTGTTGACAATGATTTGAATGAGTGATTAGTCATGGTTACTCTGATTAAAACTACAGGAGCGGTTTTGTCAGCCCTTGGAACAACATTGCAGTTGTCCGACATGATTGCAAAGATTACAAAAACAGATATGGAGTCATTACACACTCAACGGCCACTAGGTTTCTCGGTAATAGCAGTTGCCGATTTCACAGGGTCATGCAAATTGGGCGGTTTCTCAATTATTTCAATTATTTATTTGAATCGAGCTGCTATGTTTGCGATGATATGAGATTGTGGCAGAAAGGTGGACTTCAGAATACCTTTGCGTCCGTCTTCTTGATGATGCTTTTGGTCATTGTCTTGAATTTTTATGTTGTCAGGATTCTCACATTTCAAATTTCAAGCTTGAGTTGGATACTAAGGAGTGGGGATGTGCAAAAATACAGTATACCGATATCGTGAGCTGCTGTATCGATACATTTCCAAGAGTAATTTTTGGTATATTTTACTAAACTGTTTTGCTGCAGTGCTACAATTGTGTTGCTTGTTTTAATCGGAAGAAAACTAATTTACGCAATACATAAAAATGGGTGTATTTCATGTTCTCTTATCGCATTTTCGTTGTTCAACTTGTCGCAGATTATGAAAATGTGAAGTGGTATGTCTTTTCGTCTCTGCAAATGTGTTAAAATATCTTAAATGTCAACTCTGTCACCTTGTACTTTGTGTCA